AATATCAGTATTAGAATCAATATCAATATCAGTATCAATATCAGTATCAGTATCAGTATCAATATCAGTATCAGTATCAATATCAGTATCAATATCAGTATCAGTATCAGTATCAGTATCAATATCAGTATCAATATCAGTATCAGTATCAGTATCAATATCAATATCAGTATCAATATCAGTATCAATATCAGTATCAATATCAGTATCAATATCAGTATCAATATCAGTATCAATATCAATATCAATATCAGTGTCAGTATCAATATCAGTATCAATATCAGTGTCAATATCAATATCAATATCAATATCAATATCAGTATCAATATCAATATCAGTATCAATATCAATATCAGTGTCAGTATCAATATCAGTATCAATATCAGTGTCAATATCAATATCAATATCAATATCAGTATCAATATCAATATCAATATCAATATCAGTATCAATATCAGTATCAATATCAATATCAATATCAGTATCAATATCAATATCAATATCAATATCAGTATCAATATCAATATCAATATCAATATCAGTATCAATATCAGTATCAATATCAATATCAATATCAGTATCAATATCAATATCAGTGTCAGTATCAATATCAGTATCAATATCAGTGTCAATATCAATATCAATATCAATATCAGTATCAATATCAATATCAATATCAGTATCAATATCAGTATCAATATCAGTATCAATATCAGTAAAAGTGTTAGAATCAATATCAGGTATTTTTATCCTTAGATATTTCTTACAAAAAGGGTTTTCAGTTCATTTTTTTATTGGTTGATTTTTCAATAAAATACATTTTCAAAGTTTTTCTATTATAATTTCTGGACTAGCAACCTTTAAACTATAATCAACATTTATGCCAAGTTTAACGTAGGTGTATAACAAAACTACAATTCTCAAGCACCAGCTCTATTACAGACTATCTGGAATTAAATTGAGTAAAATCAATAAGTTTAGAATATAAAATCTTATACGAGAATCTGAGATATAGATATCTTATTGATCATTGACCGTAAACCAAGAAATATCATTTTTTATTTTTATCAGAAATTTTATCAATGAAACAGTCTTCAGTTTGAAATAATAATATTTTTATATCTATATCAATGATAATGTCAATTCTGCTAAAATTCAACTGAAGATATTTTAAATTTTTGCCTCCCTCTACATGTTAATTGAAAATAAATTGTTAAAATTGCTTCCATGGGGCTCTGACACTGTTTCTAAGATATCCTAGGGTTCTTATTTCTAACACTGTTTCTAGGATATCCCCAGGTCTTAACTTCTAACACTGTTTCTAGGATATCTTAGGGTCTTAACTTTTAACAATGTTTCTAGGATATCCCAGGGTCTTAACTTTTAACACTGCTTCAAACACTGTTTCTAGGATATCCCAGGGTCTTAACTTTTAACACTGTTTCTAGGATATCCTAGGTTCTTAACTTCTAACACTGTTTCTAGGATATCCTAGGGTCTTAACTTCTAACACTGTTTCTAGGATATCCCAGGGTCTTAACTTTTAACACTGCTTCAAACACTGTTTCTAGGATATCCCAGGGTCTTAACTTCTAACACTGTTTCTAGGATATCCTAGGGTCTTAACTTCTAACACTGTTTCTAGGATATCCCAGGGTCTTAACTTCTAACACTGTTTCTAGGATATCCCAGGGTCTTAACCTCTAACACTGTTTCTAGGATATTCTAGGGTCTTAACTTTTAACACTGATTGTAGGATATCCCAGGGTCTTAACTGCTAACACTGTTTCTAGGATATCCCAGGGTCTTAACCTCTAACACTGTTTCTAGGATATCTTCTAGGATATCCTAGGGTCTTAACTTCTAACACTGTTTCTAGGATATCCCAGGGTCTTAACTTCTAACACTGTTTCTAGGATATCCCAGGGTCTTAACTAAGCTAGTTTATGTAAAATCAGGAGAGTTTGTTGTTGGCTGTCATACCTTAGTCAACAATCAAGGGAAAGTTTTGCCTAACCTTGTTGCTAACAGTTACTCAACGAACTACCAGACACTGTAGATCTATATCAAGAAAAGGGCAAGTAACGACAATAGAAACCAAACTTGACATAATTCTAAAGTTACATTGTGAGCCTAATTATTGACTTGTATCTAGAATAGAGTTTAAGAATATTGATTCTATGTGATTCTGGTGTACTACTGTTGAACAACTCCTTACTCAAACATCAGTCAAATCATTTATAAAGAGTATGTTTGCAGAAGCAGAAAATATGACATGTTTGTTAGTCTGTTGTTCTGATGTGATTATACATATTATGCTATGCATTATGTTGTTATATTTATATTAGCTATTATTTTTTCCATTGAACTAATACAAATTCATGTGGCGTTTATATCACCATAATATGCATTTATTCAATTTTCCAGCCAACCTTTGTCCTGATATACAACCATAACTGCCATAGGGTAACAGTTTATTGCTTGAATATTATCATATTATGTTTCTGTCTTAGCCTATATGTCTTTGTTTTATTTTATAAATGTAAATATCATTTATTGTGTTATGAATGTTCTATGTTGGCGCCCGTGGGTGCCGATCTTAGTGGCAGTAGCATGCTACATGCAAAACCTTACATTATTTTATAATCTGAAATATATTGCAACATATCTCATGCATAGCATGCAGAGCCACAGGGGGGAGCAGAGAGGGTAGTTGGAAAGTTTTTATTTTTCACAGCATGTGACTGGCTGTGACACATCAAATGTCCCCAAAGAAAAGTGAAAATGTCCCCACATAATACTGAAATTATCTTTAAATGTCATCATAAAGAGTGTTTTTAATAAGAAATATTACACAACTCTTGTATTTTAACAAACACATCTTAGACTCACAACCAGACAATGTTTCACTAGACATAGAAACTCCTTAACTTCCAATTCAAAAACTCTATTACTTATCTATAATGAATCAAACTTCTCACAGAAAAATACACAATACACAAAATTCTACAAAAAAAACAATATTGCACTTTTACAAACGTCTTAAATCATCCCTTCCTAGAAATATCACAAATGAAATATCCATATTCAAAACAAATACAGAACATTTTACAATAGAATCAAACCTCTCATAGGAAACACAATACATAATCCATAGAATAAAATCATACGGGAAACACTTAATCCTTCACAATATTCCTGTTAAAATCCAGTCTTCCTTCCTAAGATAATCTGGTAATAACCTTCACTGTAGTCAGTTAGAACTCTTCAGTTAGGAGGGGAGTAAGTTTATTGATTAACGTCATGGAGAGAAACAACCAGAACGGCCGTGAGAAATTCCACGGAAAGTCAAGAAACTAAACTGTCGATATTTATTGGGTTATTAGATCATTTAGTTATATTTCGATTTATTTTTAGATTAATCATTAATTATTGTTGACAAGGGCAATAACTCTGTATCTCCTTGCTAATTTACATCAGAAACTAAACAGTTGATATTTTATTGAGTTATTAGATAATTGTGTCATATTTTGATTTATTTCTAGATTAATATTAATTATTGTTATTGTTAACAAGGGCAATAACTCATTATTAATTTACATCAGATACTTAACAGTTGATATTTTACTGGGGTATTGAATTATTATGTCATATTTGAACTTATAACTTAAATTATTATCAAAGTCAAAAACTTGCTTTATTAACAAGGGCAATAACTCTGTATCTGATTGTTGGAGGATAAAATTAAAATCAAGAAACTAAAATTGTGAAATTTTGCTGGGCAATAAGATATTACATTTTAATTAATTTCAATTGAAGTTAATATTTTAACAAGGGCAATAACTCTGTATTTCTGATAGCCTCAATGCATGCAATATATCTGCATTCATATATGGGCATATACAAAGGGAAAAAAATAGGATATCAATCTAAATTAGCTAGGATCCTATCTACCTTGTAGTCGATTATAAAACTTTTGTCATTTTTCTTACCCAAATTCTGTAACCATTTACAGTTGGTTGACTGGAAATACGTGGAAAGATGTCACCAGACTTTCACATGACAATCCAAATTAGAACCCACAAAAACCAACATTTGTTGGATGTAGACTAACCAAGAAAATTACATCAAGATTTCAACACTCTAACCAATTGAGCTACAGTCTGTTCTCAAATGAAATTAACTGACCTTTTAAGCTGTTCATTCTGTTCCTGTAGCTGTGACTTGATCATTTCTAAAGACTCTAAATATGTCTGTTTAGTTTCTATTTCTTCTACCTTCTGTTTCAGATTGTCTTCTACTGTTTTTAACTGAAATATTAGACATGTTTCCATTTTTATCAAGTGGAAAAGATGTCTTAAAGGGACCCCAATTTCAGGGATTGATGTGGGTCTTGAATTTGTGTAAATAGTCTTTATAACCTGCTCTTTAAATTACTCTAGGTTCAAGGGTCAACAAAAATTTTGATTTAATTTTCCTTAATCATATACACCCATACAAAGTTTCATCAAGATTGGTTAAAAAATTAGATTTGGTCATATATATGATAGACAGGTGTGGTGCCAGACAGGGTATGCTTACTCTTCTAAACACCACTAGATAGATAACACTTCTCATTATGATATACTTACTCATTTATGATTCAAATACTGCTTCCTATGTTTTGCCAAAGTAGGACGTAAAACTCCATTCATTTCATTTCCTATGTTTTGCCAAACTGTTCTTTTGGATTTCGAGTTTCGGATCGTTTGTACATATATTGTATCATAGATTCATTGGTAATATCCCACAATCCAATATACAGTTACAATGCCCAAGGGATATGTCAAATTGACTGCCCAATGAAAACCTGAAAAAGCATTTTACCTGTGAAGCTGTAAATTGATGTTGTTTACGTTCGTCTATCAAGGTATCTTTCAGTACTATTATTCTGTTATCATACGTTGTATCTATATCTTTCTCTGTGTTTAATAAACTTTCTAATGATTGATCATTCAAACTTCTTAATCTCTCATTCTCTTCTGAAAAAAATTCAAATACGGTGAAAACTCTCTTTTTATTGGACACTCATTTCTTGGTACCAAAGATTTCACTTAGTAGAAATGATGGGACTCTCAAGTGTTGTTAAGGAAAATGACTCTATAGAGAGTAAGACAGTTTATATTTATGGAGAGACTATTTTACGAAATGTCCATGAAATTGAGAAAATGTTTCAACAAAGTTTTAACAAGCGCCAGAAATCACAAAAGTGACATCTATACATCAACGTTCTTTTAAACAAATTTTTAATTTTGAAATATTTTGATATTTTAATATTTTATCAAGTGAAATTGATATTTGTCAAGTTTTAGGATTATCATTATTATATTACCTTTTAGAACTTTCAGGATTTCAACTATCTGTGTATTTCTGAAAAAATTGAAAATAAATCAATTCCTCAAAAAACAACACAAACTGATTTAAAGGGACAGGTTTGTCATTCTAAATGGTTGATTTGAGTCTTGAATATATATAAATAGTCTTCAGAAATACTAGAACTGCATGGAAATTGCATAATTCCTTCAAAAATATCTCAAACTAGGAATTTTACTCACTATTTCTATATATGTCTTTTCTATATTTGGCAATGTTTCAAGAAAAGACGACTCATCAACGCAGATAATTCTGGACACACATGGATTTGAAGTCTCAAATTCTGACTGTGAGCTGTGAAGAGTCTTACTGATTAGCTTAGCTCAAAATATTCCTGATTCTGAGACTAAAGAACGACTGGTTAAATAGATGGTGATCCTGTCCCATTAAATCAACCCAACAGTCTTTTACATTCATGAAAGATATTGACCACTCAATATAAATAAAGAATAGAATAAAGCAAGAAATTTCGCTGTTGTCTTGAACTTATCCATAGCAATATTAAGATCAACATTAATTCCTATCTGACTGTGAACAGAGCATGTTCTACAACTTACCTAGTCAGTAAATCTTGACTAGAGTTATCTGCCTTGTATTTCTCTAATTCTGGAGGGGAGTTAAGTAGGTCATCAATTTCTCGTAGGAACTCTTCCCTCTTTTCTCTTGATCTTGACAACTACAGGGAAAACAATGTTCATTTGAAAAAAAGGCAAAAAACTGAGGCCCTGTGTGCTACAGGCTGTGCACGTTAAAGTTGGAAATCGAAAAGAGCAAGCTAATGCCTTGCAAAATTTTTTAAGTTGTGTTAGATAAAACAATTTTTTTCACTGAAATTGTTAGAAACTTTTTATAAGACAATGGATGCTAACCACTTCTATCAATTATATTACCAAATATCACAGTTATAAAGTTATAAATTAATATATATAGAAACTATTTATAAGACAGTGGACATTAACCACTTCTATCAACTATATTACCAAATATCAGTTATAAAGTTATAAATTAATATATATAGAAACTATTTATAAGACAGTGGATGCTAACCACTTCTATCAATTATATTACCAAATATCACAGTTATAAAGTTATAAATTAATATATATAGAAACTATTTATAAGACAGTGGACATTAACCACTTCTATCAACTATATTACCAAATATCACAGTTATAAAGTTATAAATTAATATATATAGAAACTATTTATAAGACAGTGGATGCTAACCACTTCTATCAACTATATAACCAAATATCACAGTTATAAAGTTATACATTAATATATATAGAAACTATTTATAAGACAGTGGACATTAACCACTTCTATCAACTATATTACCGAATATCACAGTTATAAAGTTATAAATTAATATATATAGAAACTATTTATAAGACAGTGGATGCTAACCACTTCTATCAATTATATTACCAAATATCACAGTCATAAAGTTATAAATTAATATATATAGAAACTATTTATAAGACAGTGGACATTAACCACTTCTATCAACTATATTACCAAATATCAGTTATAAAGTTATAAATTAATATATATAGAAACTATTTATAAGACAGTGGATGCTAACCACTTCTATCAACTATATAACCAAATATCACAGTTATAAAGTTATACATTAATATATATAGAAACTATTTATAAGACAGTGGATGCTAACCACTTCTATCAACTATATTACCAAATATCACAGTTATAAAGTTATAAATTAATATATATAGAAACTATTTATAAGACAGTGGACATTAACCACTTCTATCAACTATATTACCAAATATCACAGTTATAAAGTTATAAATTAATATATATAGAAACTATTTAGAAGACAGTGGATGCTAACCACTTCTATCAATTATATTACCAAATATCACAGTTATAAAGTTATAAATTATTATATATAGAAACTATTTATAAGACAGTGGACATTAACCACTTCTATCAACTATATTACCAAATATCACAGTTATAAAGTTATAAATTAATATATATAGAAACTATTTATAAGACAGTGGATGCTAACCACTTCTATCAATTATATTACCAAATATCACAGTCATAAAGTTATAAATTAATATATATAGAAACTATTTATAAGACAGTGGACATTAACCACTTCTATCAACTATATTCGCAAATATCACAGTTATAAAGTTATAAATTAATATATATAGAAACTATTTATAAGACAGTGGATGCTAACCACTTCTATCAATTATATAACCAAATATCACAGTTATAAAGTTATAAATTAATATATATAGAAACTATTTATAAGACAGTGGATGCTAACCACTTCTATCAACTATATTACCAAATATCACAGTTATAAAGTTATACATTAATATATATAGAAACTATTTATAAGACAGTGGACACTAAACACTTCTATCAACTATTTTACCAAATATCACAGTTATAAAGTTATAAATTAATATATATAGAAACTATTTATAAGACAGTGGATGCTAACCACTTCTATCAACTATATAACCAAATATCACAGTTATAAAGTTATACATTAATATATATAGAAACTTTGAAGATAAAAAGTTAATTTTTTATCCCATTACCCCATATAGCAATATGTATCGCATTGTGACCCTTGGCAAAGAAAAACCATCTGGTGCTAGTTAGTCAATCTCATCAGTCATTGTCTAAAATCTTTCAAATCAAGGGTTTATCTTATCTTTTTACGCTTCTCAAATTTGTTTACATCAAAATTGTTACTTACTAATTTGGCTGTTTCTGTGACAATAGTAGGCTTGTTTTTAACATGTTCAACAGAATCTAAAATACTGGATAACTCTTCATCAAGACTACTAGTAGAATGATTATCCAGTTGTCTTAAACTATCAGCTATTTCTTTATTACATAATGGAGATGGAAGATGGGGACTACTGCCCAGCTGGAAAATAAAAAAATAAATGAAAGGAGTTTTACGTCCTACTTTTTCGCACCTTGTGGGCTAATGAAGACGGGCAATGTCATGGATTTTGCAATGAGTGAAATTTTGCCAAGAGAGCGACATTAGCTTGCTCTTTTTCGATGTCCAACTGTCGAGGGATCTTTAACGTGCACACCCTGTAGCATAAAGGGCCTCGGTTTATTGTCCCATCCGAACGACTAGACGCTTTTGCCATGTCAGTCCCTGTTACCTGCATAACTTGCAAGTTGCTCTTGGGAGTAGCTTTAATGAAACTTACTGTTCTATATAGCTGTGTATGTATAGAAAGACTAGATACTGGGGTAGATGTGGGTAGGTAGTACGCTGTGGGGGTGGGGGGTATAGAAATACTACAATCCTCTTCATCAATATCCTCTTTCTCAGGATTTAATTCACCATTTTCTAAACTGGATAAAAAAAATCATAAACAATTTTTTATTCAAAATAATATGAAAAGGATTTGAGAACAGACCTTCGCCTGTATAACCCCTGTGCCTCCTCTGCCAATTAGGGGTTACAATATGAAAAAAGTGTCTTCAATTTGGTCCTGTTTCAAGAGAGTTGAGGGCTAGTTTCTAAATCCTGTGACTGATCAGATACTCTTCAATGCTGTCAGCTGCTAGCAATCACTGGTAATATAATTTTCCAAAAGATGAAGACTGACTGTACCTTAAAATATGATGTTGAGCCTGAATCAATTCCTGTTGTAATCCACTTTTATCAGCTCTTATATCCTAGAAAACAACCAGCAGATTATAGCTGTCTCTCAAACACTCATTTAAATAAAATAATGTTAAACACAGATTTACAATATATATTGCTTGTTCCTTGTGCAATAACTACAAAAAGCCAATGTGGGTATTCTGAAATACTATTGGTGGATTTATGTCCAAATAACGTTGCTTGAGGAGCATAGACATGAAATACCAGAGGTAAAGTCAGCCACCATATCCTTCACCAGTTTGATCCTATAAAAAAAATACATGTAATAATACAAGAGATAAGACCTGGTGGAAGACATACCTCATTCATCTGATGTAACTCCTCAATATAATTTTCTAGTTTCTCTAATTTCTCACTTTTCTACAAAAAACAAATATATTGAATATTTTACATTTTCATACAAACAATCTCCATATTTATCATTTCAATATTCTAGTTTATTTTACATGATCTCAAGTTTATCAATAAACAAGCATCTCTTACAGGTTTGCTTCTTCATGGATCATCAATTGTAATAAAATATTTGGGGATTTTCAACAAAAGTGCGGAATTGAACATCTGTGAAATATATACACTTGATTCAACATATCAAATTATCTTCAAATTAAGATGTCTTTTAAGGCATAAACATCAAATAAGGAACTGAGAAATAACAAGGTTTTATCCTACACTTAATTCTATAAGAATCATTGAAGTTTATTTCCCCTCTCTTAGTTTAATATTAGTCTCTCTCTGTTCTGATAGTAATAGAGTTAAATCATTCTGTTGTATATTGAATACCTACCTCTTGTATTTGTGTTTGTTGTAATAATTTCACCTCCCTTAGTTTAATATTAGTCTCTCTCTGTTCTGATAGTAATAGAGTTAAATCATTCTGTTGTATATTGAATACCTACCTCTTGTATTTGTGTTTGTTGTAATAATTTCACCTCCCTTAGTTTAATATTAGTCTCTCTCTGTTCTGATAGTAATAGAGTTAAATCATTCTGTTGTATATTGAATACCTACCTCTTGTATTTGTGTTTGTTGTAATAATTTCACCTCTCTTAGTTTAATATTAGTCTCTCTCTGTTCTGACAGTAATAGAGTTAAACCATTCTGTTGTATATTGAATACTTACCTCTTGTATTTGTGTTTGTTGTAATAATTTCACGTCTCTTAGTTTAATATTAGTCTCTCTCTGTTCTGACAGTAATAGAGTTAAATCATTGTGTTCTTGTCTGTAGTCTTCTAGTTCTTCTGTTAGTAAATGCATCTGGGTGAAAAGAAATGAAATGGAGTTAACATCCTACTTTTGACCTCTGCTTGGAAATTTTGCCAAAAGAATGAGATTAGCTTGCTCTTTTTCTGACTTCCACAAGTTAATTATCTTTAACTTTCACAGCCTGTACCTTTGGGGCCTTGGTTTATGTCCCATACAAACAACTAGACACCTTTTCCATGTCACCCTCTTTCAATGCATCACTGACTGGAGGCCACTAGATTGGCAATTCTTGAAGTAGCTGAGCTAAAGAAGTGGCACTCAACAATTTGTTTATTTGTCACCAATAGTAATCAAAATTTCACTAATGCAATGCAGTGTGCAATGACGGAAACTTTTTCAAGGAGTATCCTACATGTAAACAGTAATCTAACCAAGCTCCAGTTGAATAAATACCAGAAACTGACCTTATTCTCTGTATTTTTCACCTCTGTATCTAGCTCTGTATTCTCCTTCTCCAACTTTATAATACTGTCTTCTAGATGTTTCTTAGTGTCTTGTAGATTTAATATTTTTACTTTCAATTCTTCATTTTCACTCAGGATTTCATTTCGTTCTTCCATGATATTCTGAAGGCTGAAATAAGGTTTAGAGTGGGTTTGAACTAGATATTACCTTTAAGCTTCCATTTTTTGGAACAAAACTTTAAATCTTGTTAACTTATCATTAGCTCTAAGCTCAGATTTTGAGGTTAGAGTGACACCACTGTAAGAATGCCTTGTCTGCTATCAATAAACCAAGTACTAATGATCCAAACCGCAAAACGAAACCCAAAATCCAAACAACATATTGGCAATACATTGGTAGCAGTTTTTCACATGAGGAAGTATATCAATCACAAGTGAGTAAGTATTTCATAATGAAAAGTGGTATCAGGTGTCTAGAAGAAAAAGCAAACCCTACTGTAATATACAATAAATATTATAATAGGAGCCTAGCATAAGCCATAAGAAAATACCTTTGAACTTTCTTCTGTAAGTTTTTATTATCCAATGACATTGTGGCCACATTTTCTTCTTGAACATCCAGGTGCTGTTGAAGTTTAGAATTCTCTTCGATTAATTCAAGATTCTGATTTTGCAAATCGTAAATCTTACTCAACATTTCACTCAGCTCTCTGGAAATAAAACAGCAGAACTGATCATTTAATAAACAGTTATACCATATGAGAGGCTCAAAAAAGACCATACCAATGTTTAACATCAATTCAACGCAAGTTGATAGCTTCTAAGAAACAGAAACTCAAAAATACTCAACTTAATAGGTCAACAATATTTTGATAATAACAATATTTCTGTGTATAATGATAAAATTATTGAAACTAATATAATCTCACAAGTTATAAACAGTCTCTGTATTATGATTACATACAATGTTCCTGTATATGACATCATTTGGTTTTGTCTTTTGACTCTAGAAAGTACCAAAAACCTCTCAACAAAAATTCTGTCCAATATTAAGTATTGTTAACTTGAAAATGCTAACTTACTGTTCCTGAATTCTGTTACTGGTTTCTAGAAGAGAATAGTCTAAACTTATTCTTGATAGATCTAAACCTAAAATAATATTACAAATATTCAGTCATTATTCAATCATTATTCAATCATTATAAATCTTCACTTAAATCTTCAAAAAAGAAAATCCAAAATTCAATGCGTCTTTCAAAAAATATTTTTCATAAGGGTACAATATTTAGTGAGTTGATGTGGAATTCAAGAAACAACTCTTCAGATACAGTACCAGTATTTACTGTAAAGGTGTATGATTTGGACAAAAAAACAATAGATGGCATCCTACATAGGGACAGTTCTATGAAACATAAATGATGGATCTTTAATAAAACTATAAAATGTTGGGAAACATGTCAAAAAAAAAGAGTTCGTTTCTATCAATTCCAGGCTTGGATAAATCATAAATAACTTACTGTCAACTAATGGGCTAGCAGTATAAACCTTCTCAGGCGCCGCTGCTCGTAGACTCTCATTACCAGCAAATAATTTACTATGACGGGGAGAATTCTTCGGACTGTTTAATATTTCTTCAACACTCGGATTACCCAGTCTGAAATCATCACAATGAATTTTAATGAAATAAAGTCCTTAAAAAGTTGGCTTCAAACTTTTCTAAAACTCAGAACTTCTTTACTAAAATTTCTGTTAATAAAATAAGACTTTATATTCTTGGCTTCAAACCTTTTTAACACTAAAAACCTTTTTTCTACATTTAAAGACTTCTGATGCCCTTTTACTCACTAATTAATGCTCAACTAAGTGCAAAAATAGCTTTAAAAATTTTGAAAAAGACAGATTAAGATTAACTTACCCATTTCTAACTTCTTTAATCCAGCATCTGATAGCTAGCCTACAGGTTTCCATGTCAACCATTTTACACGCCAGACTGCCAGGGTTGAGTAGTGTCTCCAGTCTGGTTATAGCATCATCAGTCTGAAACAATGTAATACAGTTAAACTACATGCAGTGTGCAATGAAAACATTCTATGGCTTATTATAGTTGTGTAAATCAAAATATTTTTAAAAAAAGTTTTGTGGTAAATAGTACCCAAATAACTTTTGGAAAAGTCTATAAATTTCTTACTTGATTAATCAAATAGATAATTTTCTCTTAGTCACATAAACCTTATTGTAAATTTATCAAGTGTAATATTCTCACTTTGGACCAGAAATAAAATTCCAAATTTCAAAGTCAAGGGTAGAGTTTGAAAACTTGTGGACTAAGCCCTGTATTTAGTGTTCATCACACACGACAGACAATTTAGGATCTTTAACATTCACTATATAGATTTTGATACATTTTTAGGCAACTCAAAATTGTCACAAATGAGTTCTTTGGGCCTGTAATTCTTCAAATTTTCTGAGTACAAAGTCTGAGCCCCAGCACCAATTTATTCCTGGTGTGTGGGCTGCATACACTTAATATAAGCTTATCTATCTTACCTCTGGACCAGTAGAGTTGTTGGTATTAGTCAGATATTCCACTATACTGGAAACTTCCACCCAACCTTCCTCCTTCTCATCACAGGCATAGAACAATCCTTCTATCATTTCATCATCGGAAGTGGTTACATTCCCTGTGGATCCTCTAGATTTATTAGGCAAGATGCTGCCCATCGAACTTTGTGGTGTATATTCCTGAGAGTTAGTTACATTCCTGGTTGACCCTCTAGATTTACTTGGTGAATTGGTGATGTTGCCCATAGAACTTTGTGGTGTATATTCCGGTCTATTAGTTACTTTCCTTGTTGACCCTCTAGATTTTGTGGGTGTGATGCTGCCCATAGAACCTTGTGCTGTGTACTCCTGACAATGAGCTAAATTTCTCATGAATTCTTTAGATTTACAAGGAGAATTGGTGATGCTGCCCATAGAATTTTGTGGTAAATATCCCTGACAGCTAGTAACATTCCTGGTTGACCCTCTAGATTTGGTGGGTGTGATGCTGCCCATAGAACCTTGTGCTGTGTATTCCTGACAACTAATTGAATTACTGATGGGCTCCATTATTTTAATTGGTGATTTTGTGATGCCCATAGAACTTTGGGCAGTGTATTCCTGAAAGCTAGTTACATTCATTGTGGAGTCTCTTGATTTACTTGGTGAATTGGTGATGCTGCCTATAGAACCTTGTTCTGTGTATTCCTGAAAACTAGTTATATTCCTTGTAGATCCATTAGTTTTACTTGGTGAATAGGGGATGCTACCCATAGAACTTTTATCTGTATATTTTTGAGTACAAGTTAAGTTCCTTGAGGACTCTCTTGATTTGTTGATGAAACCTTCATCAGTGAATTCTTGGCTGGTGTCATTTGATTTCCCTCTTTCAAGTTTGCAAGGTGACGGCAAATCATCACCCACATGATCCTCAGATGTGTCATCGTGGGTATTCGGTTGATCCCCTATTGATTGTCTACATTTATTAGGTGAATGAGTCATGATGTCTGTAGAAACCTCAGTTGTAAAGTCCTCAATAAAACTATTACTTTCTCTACCAGAAGACTTGATAATGAAATCATTAGCACCCCCTATGTAGTTCTCATGAGTGTCTGGTTTATGCCTTGCTGACTGTCTACAGTTATTAGGTGAATGAGTCATGCTGCCTGTAGAAACCTCTGCAGTGCAGTCCTCGAGGGTATTGCTTGGCTTGCTAGCCAGTCCAGTAGGAGACTGTTTAATACTGTCTTCTGATTCATCAGAGTTGTAACCATGATAAGTGTTTGACATCATTAAAGTCCAGATCAGTTCCTTCTCAATCCACCTTCATTACATCGCATTTGTCTGAAAAAATATACACAATTACAATTAGATCTATTCATAATCATATTAGCCTAGTCTTTGGCATCATTTATTGACATCATCGATTAGGCCTACTCCTAAGTCCTACTCCTTCTCACATTGTCATTTGTACTATATCAACCTTAATACATATTAATATGCAGATTTCAAACACAAATAAGTTTGTACTAATACCCATTGATGTTCTACACCTTACAACTTTTAATCTTTTAATCTTAAAAATAATGCCAAGAAAACATCGACTGGTCAAGGTCAAGGTCGTGCAGAAAACTTGAAACTTCAGACATTTTCATTCAATCTTCAATAAAAAATTTCAATTGCTGTCACCAAATTCAAGGGATACACTAAAGAGACTTTAGAGTTGTTACCTACACATCTGAAGTAACCAGAAACGTGTTAGAAAAGTAAAATAATCAGATTTCTTTGCCTGTTTCGTCGTTAACATTCAGAATTCCCACCATGACACTTGTTGTATGACGTCATGGTCACGTGATGTAGATGACATTAAAGGAGCAATGCCTAGCTTTTTTATCAATAAATTTATATGTAACTCAATTTAGAAGAGAAATTCGGGATAAAGGGTTTTGGAAAACCCCTTCTTTGTCTTATGTCGGTATGAAACATTTTGCCGGCTAATATATAATATATTATAGGGTTAGTCTACTGCTTTCCATGTTCTTTTAGCATCTGTAGCAATTATCAATTAGCCTAGGCCTAGATATGGATAATATCGTACTGTTGCTGAAGTACAGTACCACGACTACTTTTAGGCTTACCCCAGCCTTGTAGCTTCTTTTAGGGTCTATACTCGGGGCCTATGTACATGATATGTGAAGGAAAGCCACATGTCTGGATAGGCCTATAATATTCCAAGTTAGCTTTTGAACATAGTTCCACTCTGTAAAGTTTACAAAAATTACACTTACCTTTTGCACTAGATTCAAAGTAGCAATTTTAATCAGTTCGGGAAACGCCTTGGATTTCAAGTTCTATTTAGGCCTAAGGAATTAAAACGTCATTAGTTTAGATTCAATAGTAGGTCTAGGCTATGATTAGTTATGACACAATGTTCAGATTATTTAGCCTAGTTAATAATTCAGTCCTAGATAATCAAACAATAGAGGTATTTATCATCAATATACTTACTGATGTTCTTTAATCCGGATACAACACACCTGACTTCAGTTCACCATACAACATTACATTAAAACACGAACAAATACACACACACGAGACTGTCATTTACATTTCATCTTGTTTAAAGTTACGATACCACAAAATAAAATAAACACCATTTCAAAATCTATTTTAATATTTATTCTCTGTCATCCTTCGTATTTGATGACGTCACAAATTCCGAATTGAATTAATATTTTGAGACAGAAGAGATATGAAGGCTGATATTTGTGTCACCCAGGTGATAATCTGAGTTAATTAAATATTAATTAGACACCCTCATTAACTTTATCAACAACGATTAAACTCTCCTTTAGATATCATACCAAACTTTTCTACCCTTATATTACCAATAGATTCAGGTGGGCCGGTGTAAGGTATGAGTTTGGGACTTAAGTTAAAGGGAAAGGGGCGCCATTTTGGGGCGTTGATTTTAGTGTTGAATATATGTAAATAATCTTCAGTGGTACTAAAATGTGAGAAAATAGCACAATTCCTTTAAAAATTCTTCAAACTAGGAATTTTACTCGCTATTTCTATATGATGACGAGTCATCATTTTAACATTCAAACGCTGATAATTCTGGACATACATGGATTTTAAGGCTCAAATTTCGACGGTGAACTGTGAACACTATTACTGACTGGCTTAGCTAAAAAAATAATCCGTTTCTGAAAAATCGCGCATCTGTCCCTTTAAATGCAGAGACTAAAATCCCTTTAAATATCCTAAAAACAATGTTGACATTTTTATACGCATTTGGTTGTTTGCTATATTACGAGGTTGGTACAAGGATGTATAGAACTTTAAAAACTAACAAGTTCAACAATCATTAATTAATGTCTTTTCATGGTATAAGGGAAACAACTCCAAATATCTTAATAGACTACAGACCACACGAAATCCAATAAAGGGTAACGAACTAATCTCAAAATATTGTTTTTCTGAATTTGTGAAGCAAAAGGTTTTATTGAAAATGAAATGTTTAAGCTTTAATTTCAATAGACACCATGACCCTTGAACTATTTAGTAATTTAGGACTCGAGACGACCTCGAACTGCTGTCTGTCCAACTACCGACCACAATGTTTACAGAAAAAAGTTTGCCGTTCGTACGAAATAAAATATCAACACCAACATGTGGCAGTGGAATAGCTCAGTTGGTAGTAAGTAGGATTGTCGTCTGCTGGGCGATTAGGTGCCGTGGGTTCGAATCCTTCTCAAGGTAAAAAAATTATGATGCCTGTGCCAGTGCTTTAGAGAATCGGCCAGGTGTTGGCTCTCACCCTCTTATACTTATCCTTGCCCGTGCCATGCATATCTCCTTGAAGGGGTTAACAACTAGGAATTTTAGCTTTTAACATTGCGGTTAAGTAATGTTACGAAAGCACAGGAACAGGTATGGAGTTGTAATCTCTAGTGAGAGAGTATTGTTTATGCAGTTAGTTTCAATAATATAATATCATTTCAATATATGAAAAGAAAATCCATATTAGTGAGCTTTATTGTCGTCTGCTACAACAGGGGAATAGCTCAGTCATTAGCTTGTTGGATTGTCGTCTGCTAATACAAGGGAATAGTTCAGTCAGTAGCGAGTTGGATTGTCGTCTGCTAATACAAGGGAATAGTTCAGTCAGTAGCGAGTTGGATTGTCGTCTGCTAGGACAAGGGAATAGTTTAGTCAGTAGCGAGTTGGATTGTCGTCTGCTAGGACAGGGGAATAGTTCAGTCAGTAGTGAGTTGGATTGACGTCTGCTAGGACAGGGGAATAGCTCAGTCAGTAGCGAGTTGGATTGTCAACTGTTAGGAGAGGGGAATAGTACAGTCGGTAGCGAGTTGGATTGACGTCTGCTAGGACAGGGGAATAGCTCAGTCAGTAGCGAGTTGGATTGTCAACTGTTAGGAGAGGGGAATAGTACAGTCGGTAGCGAGTTAGATTGTCGTCTGCTAGGCGATTACAGGTGCCCTGGGTTCGTATTGGCACAACTTATAGAAGGTGATGAGGAAAATGGCCTCATAAAAGCACCGGTCTGGGTTACAAAGTAAAGCTTTATGTTAAAACAACGTTAAAGGCCAAAATCATTAAATAGTATATTTTCTTTATTATTATTATTATTATTATTCTAGTAAATTTGCTGAAATAGTTCATACAAGGGAAATCGAACCTGTTAATGATATCATAGATATTGTTAGGCCTATTGTTAAACATTAAAATGACAAAGTTATTAATTTGTTTCGATCTTTTGTAGGATTTGAGTTTACTTTCGATTTGGTTTATCACCTTGATTCAAATCATTTTCCTTCTAACCCGGAAATAAACCCACTAATTGGACACTTCCGGCCTTATTGTATAACATTTTCCTTTCTCAATAGAAGGTCTCGATTCGTTATATGCGGGGTTGATTTGTAAATAGTCTTCAGAAGTACTAGAATTGCACGAACATCGCATAACTCCTTCCAAAATTCCCCAAACTAACAATTCTATTTCTATATAATTATGTGTTTTCTATATGGCGGAGTCTCAAGAGTCGTCATTCTTACCATCCAACGCGGATAATATTGGACACAAATGCATTTTACGACTCAAATTTCGACGGTGGACTGGAAGGGGCATTCCGCTTTTTTTGTAGGTCGAAAAATTTCTAATATGAGTAACAATTTCAATTTTCACAATTCTTTTTTATCGTGAGATATTTTGAGATTCAGATTCCACGGGAAATGTCGAATTGAATCACGCATATACCATAACAATATCAGCTGTGTGGATTCTCTTAAAGGGATGTCCTGTTGGCAAGCAATATATCCAGAAGGGCAAGTAATATATCCATAGGAGCAATAGTATATAGTTGCAGTAGTTGAATTGGTCGGTTGTCACAATTTATTTTGGAGGGGGGGGGGGGGATGCGGAGCAATCAATTTGTTAAGGAGGGGGGGGGGGGGGGGGGCCCCCCCCAATTACCCCCCTGT